TCCAGTAAAAAGGACCCCGTTCTTACACCCAAAGCAGCACGACCCATTCGTGCTACAGCTATACAATTGATACAGCTGCAGCATGGCTGTACCACGTACAAACTCTCTCATTTTTAACGGACTTAGGATCGTATTATAAATAAAATAAAATATCTTTGCTTATTAACGATATAATCGATGACTTTCATTATTTTGGCGTATTTAAAAAATTTGAATAAACTATTTACAAAACTAAATTACGCAAATAGTTTCAATTACTAATATTGGTACCTCAAAATGGAATTCGTTTCTCTCCATACGTTTTCTACGCGAGCATGTTTTCTTAAATTATTTTTTACATTTATTACTTGTGTTTGAGCTGAGAACTTTTAACTTCCGTGAATGCAGCAATAGTTTTGTCGCGGCGGTCTTCATAAATTTGAACCTCTTTGACATAAACACGACTCTTTATTTCACCCCACAGATGAAAGATTAACGGCGAAAAGTCCAGCGAGTTTACAGGTCATATATATAAAGGGACTCCATGTGCATCCATTCTTCGTTAATGTGCTCGTAAATTAATCTCTTGCCGCGATAAAGATTCGCTTGCATGCGTGGTATGCAAAGATTTTGTATAATCTTTCATTCCTTAAAATGTAACACCACACCAATTCATGATTTCATAGTATTTGAGATTCGAATACTCGTATTTGAATTCACGACATGTAATTGTGAAAAACCTACGAAAACTATAGTACGCTCGTACGACCAACTGTGAGGACACGATCAACACTTTAGCTGTTGGTCAGTTTAATGGACGTGTAACTTAGTGACCCATTACGAATGTGTGCGTGCGTAGTAAAGGCGTTAGATATTTAATTAATGACAATTAGTTAAAAGACAGAATGCTTGCAGGAAATCAAGAATCTGTGTCAGGCTTAGGACTGTGTCATTTAGCGGGCTGGTGAAGAGCAGTGAAAATGATTACTTTTTTTAAATTATTCCATTATATAGTCGTAAAAATACAAGATGGATGTCACTTTCTAGGGGCACATAGGACCTGGACTTATATCTCTTTGTCGCTTCTTACGTGATATATGAGATGAGATGAGGTTGCGAATTATCTGGTGCCAGCATGTGCATATTATAAAATATAAATTGGAATAAAAGTGTATGTTTGCGCGTGATCCGAGTTGCAGATGGGCGAAAGATGTCCGCGCATTCATAAACTTGGAGGCGTGTGGCTCCGGCGGCCGCGAGGTGTTGTTCCAGGCCGGCCCGCAGGATCCCTGGATACTGGAGGTGAGGCGCTGTCGCTACCCACTGTTGACCTACCTTTCCACTTGGTAATATCTCCAATACTGCAACTTAGTGTAACTCCGACCTTATCGCATATGCGTTACGTCTCACACAGGTAGTTAAGGAAGCATGAATGTCCCTGTGCGTGTTGTGCGTGTTGGCACGTGCACGTGCATGTACTTGTGTGTACGTGTGCGTGCGTTCGTGTACTTGTGTGTACGTCTATGTGCGTGCGTGTACTTGTGTGTACGTGTGCGTGCGTTCGTGTACTTGTGTGTACGTGTATGTGCGTGCGTGTGCGTGCGTGTACTTGTGTGTACGTATGTGTGCGTGCGTGTATTTGTGTGTAAGTGTGTGTGCGCGTGCTTGTGTGTACGTGTGTGTGCGTGCGTGTATTTGTGTGTTCATGTGCGTGCGTGTTATTGTGTACGTGTGCGTGCGTGCGTGTCGGTTATAATTGGAATGTAAGAACACCTTACAATGAAAATGTGGAGACGTGTTTCTGGTACTTAAACTTTAATTATACTGCTCATTATTGTACACTTAACACAAATATACTGTAAGAATACCACGTACATGCAATAAATGAAACTACAAGTAATACCAGTCCATAGAAGTGTAGTAGAATTAAATATTAATTTAAAAACCGTAGATTAAAAAATTGAAATTTTCAAACAAAATAAATTCAGTAAAAGTAAACACTCTGTTTAGAAAACGTACCTTGACCCCTTGGAAGCGTAGCAACATTGCACGCAGGTGGCATGGCGGCCGGCAGCGGCCTAAACTTTTCACTAAACTCTTTATTTTTACCTCCACTTTTTTATGTCGCGATAACGAAACTGAACGAAATAAACATTGATTCTAAATCATCAATCATCAAGGTCTCCCCCCCCCCCCGTGACCATGGGTGTTGTAAAGCACCTGTAACGTCGGAAATTAAAAATAAGTAAAAGTAGTTAATTAAACGCAATAGAATCCATAAATTTAGTTTTATTCGAAATAAATATTATTGCACTGAATTTTCATTGAAAAATATATTGGCATTTTAAATTGTTTTTAAAATGTCCGACATTTTCTTGAATACATAAATTACACCGCCGCGCAATGTTGTCTCGAAGACTGCTCAATAAATTTTATTGAGGATCCAGAGCCAGGCTTTTAATTTGTCAAAGGCGGCGACAATACGATTGCGCAGTTCATCTTCGGTTTCGGAGATCTTTGAGTACACTCCATTTTAATAAAGTCCCATAAAAAGAAGTCTAGAGGAGTGAGGTTGGGCGACCGCGTTGGCCAACTGCGGGGGCAATAACGCCCTATCCATTGTTCGCTGAACATGAACTTAAGCTGCTCTCTCGTGAGGAGTACGGAGTGTGGGGGAGCTCCATCTAACTGGAACCATACCCGCATTGGCGAAGCTTCCTTTAAAGCCGAAAAGCCGGGCTTGCCTTATTAAACCTGAATCAATCAATAATATGAACTAATAAAATAACTCGTAAAATGTTTCAAGCTATTTCAAATTTCCCGCGCACTCCACTGTTCGACACATGTCGACCGATGACCTCGTATTGCCTTAGCGATACTGCTGCTGTCATAAAAATGAGTTTTAATAGAGCTAATAGTTGTCTCCCTCGCTCGCGTGGGCTTTTTACGGGGCTTTCGAGAAGACGATCGCTCTCTTTCTAACCTATGGTAAAATATTCTATAATGAAATATAACTACGATTGTATATATAGCAATTAGTATAGAGATTTAAAGCCAGGCTTTTGGGAATAAATTTGTTAAAAGCCGAGGCGCGCGGGCAATACGTTTGCAAGTTCATTTCACGTTTCAATGTTTATTTACTCTGTGTGCTTATCTTAAGCGATTTAATATTACGAGTTCAAATTTATGCTTTTTTAAAGATTTTTAATGAAAATGGAGCATAATTGTGTTCCTTGTAATGAATTGAAGTGTGTTAAAGTGATAATAGGAGAGGAAATCTTTAAACTTTGTTGAGATAATACGCAAGGTTAAGAGTGTATTTCAGACTTATGAATTATCGCAATTAAAAACAGTTATTGGTACAATTAAAACGTTCACCAACATTTTACGTGGACGTAATTAAATCTTTCCATAAGAAAGCGAGATGATTCCACTACTTATCTCTTATCCATTAGAATGTAAATATTTTTTTTTTAATTTTTTACATAGTTTGTTTGTACTTTGTTCGTGTTTTACTTTTGTTCATGTATTGTATCGGATGTAAATATCTTTTTCTTTCGTTCAAACAAACCCAAACGGCTTTCTTCAAAGCCACCGAAGCTATGCAATTGCTGATATGTAATACAATCTATCTAGCAGTAGTATGCCTTCTGTGTGCTTTGTTAAACAGGTCCTTGACAGCACTGAATATGAAACTGAAGCGTGGAGACAGATCAAGATTGGTGTATTTTTATAAAACTGCTAAAAACAACAATCTATATTTTTAACAATTTATATCTTCGGCTTGCCCTAGCTTGGAGCTCTAGCTTCGCCACTGCATACCCGCTGATAAGCTACCACAGATAATCCTTCTAAATATTCTATTAGTGGTCCGTTAAGAATATTGGTAAACTTCTGTGCATTCAGGTTTCCGTTAATAAAAACAGGGCCGATTATTCGATCTCCTAGAATGCCTGCCCAAACATTAATGGAAAAGCGGTATTGATGAGCTGATTCCCTAAATAAATGGGGATTCATATGGCTCCAGTAACGCATGGTTTTTCTGTTCCATATGCCGTTTCGTGTAATGGTGCTTTTATCCGACCAAAACACATTTGATAGGAAATGTTGGTCTTGAGACGTTTTTCAGTACCCAGTGGCAGTAAAAATCTCTATTCGGCTTATCATGGAGCAGCAGCGCCTGCACTTTTGCATATTTATAAGGACGTAGTTTGTTCCTTTTCAGTACTCGACTTATTGTTTTATGCGTCATTCTAAACACACGACCAGCTTGTCTAAGGCTGCAGGTTGGGTTCCGATCGAAATGGTCTAAGACTCGTTGTTCGAAAGACGATGGAAAGTGACGCGGAGCAACTCCTTCATGAGTGTTGGGCACTATGCGCTGATTTTTCCTGGTTCTTTGGACAGCTCATAGAATTGTCCGTAGGGCAGACGCAAGTTGCGCCGTGAATTTCACGATAGTTACGCAGAGTTAACGCTGAATTTTGGCAGCATTCGCCATACAATAAAATAATGTCTATAAACTATGTACTGTCCGTACTGTAAAAATGCTGTTGTCTTGGCACACGCGTACACACAAGAGTCATGTAGTGTCAATATCACAGTAAAAATAATAAAAATAAACTTAAAAACTTATTACACACACAAAGTCAATCCATACTTAATATTATAAATGCGAAAGTGTTTGTTTGTTGGTCCTTCTTTCACGTCGCAACAGAGCGTCGGCATGGCATGATATTTGTATGGGGATAGTTCGGTGGCTGTAGAGTGACAAAGGTTACTTTTTTCCGCGGAATAACATCTCATTCCTATGCGAAAATCGAATATGTTGCAAAATTAAATTCAGCTAGGTGGCGCCACCGTGATTCTACAAGACGGACGACGGTACGATGGACGAACACAGAAGGTCATAATATCTGGATTATTATGTCTTTTTACCAAAATTAAGATAAAAAATGTATGGATCTGTATTTTTCCACGCAGAACCGGGAAGAGAGCGATAAAAAACATAAAATTCACCAGCTGATTTTCTTCAAACGTTTTGGTGCATTGTAATTCACAGAATAGGCGATAACCTCACAGACGATATTAAGTAATTCGTTGATGCTCTGCCTACCCCACAAACACAGTCGTGACTGTGACAGTTACAGGCGTGATTATAAGTATGGATCAGAAATACTATCACCACCTGTCACACTTTCACCCTTAACTATTACTTAACTGTGGTGGAAACAGTTCTTAGTAAGCCTTATTAATAAGCCTTAGTAATATTTATTGAACGGAAATGAATACAGTTCTCATATGTGGTTATGAATTAATTGGTATTACAATAAGAAAAATTGTGCAAAATTATAAGAAAAATATTTTTTGAGAGTTCTTATTAACTAACATATACATAGTTTAAATTGATTCCACTAGATGTCGTTACTAGGTTTTTAAAAATCGGTAAAGAAATGTTTCCTGACATGTACTTAACTCCCGCCGTTGAGCCGCGCGTCAACTTATAGTGTATACGGTACCTATACGCTTAAATTGTTTCTATTTCGTAGCTTATTCGACTACCTGCTTTCGATTTCGGTTGTTTGTTATTTTCTTTGTGATTTGGTTAAGGTTGAATGGATTTATATTGGCTTTCATTTTCGGATTTGTGTATTTTCTTGGATCGGTTTTGTTGATTTGGTTGGTATTCCTTTATACATATTTAGACTAAGGCTTTGATTTTGGATTTTGTTTATTTAGAATCGTGACTTGGTTTTCGTTGTTTTAGGTTGTTTAACAATATTTCAAAGGAATATTAATAGTATAGATAGTGTATACGGTACCGATACACTTACTTCTTTTTTGTTGGTTATATTTATATTGACTACTGCTTTCGATTTCGGTTTTCTGCGATTTTTTTTGTGATTTGGTTTAAGTTGATTCGATTTTTTTTGGTTATCGTTTTCGGATTCGTGTTGTGTCTTGAATTGGTTTTGTTGCTTTGATTTAAAAAAAATATTTAAAAGGAATATTTATTCCTTTTACATATTTTGGATTTGATTTGAGATTGTACAGAAGACTGAAGAGTACAATCTGCCACTTTGCCTGGCGTATGTGGACTATGAGAAAGCATTTGATTCCGTCGAAATTTGGGCGATGCTACAGTCCAAGTTGACTGTCGGTATATCGAAGTGCTGAAGTGTTCGTACAGTAGGGCTACGATGGCTATCCGAGTACAGAACCAGAGCTCGAAACCTATCCAACTCAGAGAGGTGTAAGACAGGGTGACGTTATATCCCCGAAACTCTTCACCGCTGCATTGG